AGTATAACTTCCATCTCTAGTCAAATTAATTATTTTCTAATATTTAATTATAGCCTTTACATAGCCCAAGAATTTGGCATATTTTGTTTGTGTGTTTATCAGACATATTATGTGATTGTTTTTTTTTTTTTTTCTGCAAATCGAATTCGCATTTCAGGTTGGTTAATTTCGTGCTATAAGATAAGATGAAGATGATTTGCACTCCTTACCAATGTATACTGTATAATTTTCTTTGAATAAATGTTATAGATAAAATTTTTGAGTATTTTTTTCAGCATGGAATGCATTATTGTATTTTACATTCATTTATATGGGAAAAACTGTTTTGCATTACGAGTAATATTCTGGAACAAATTATGCTCGTTAAGCAAGGTTCCACTGTGTATTAAAAGAAGTTTTATTTATGTAAAATAAGACTAATATAGACAGATGAATAACTTTTTAAAATTAATCATTATAATTTTATATCTATTGCTTTCTGATATGTGATTAGTAAGGCTAGGACATCTAGGCACATAAATAGGAATAGGAAAAATCTCATAAATAGTTATAAAAGTCACAATTTATCACTCATATGATTGATAACTTACATAATTTTTATAGCTGTTTATAGGATTTTTAGTGGCTAGATGTCCTAGCTTAGTGATTAAGTATATATTTTAATTTAGGTTAAGAAATAATATGCAAAGTTTGATTTGTATTTTAAAATTATTATTTTGTCAAATCATTTCAAAATGCAATAGAAGAATTATTATCCAAAATCATTTTAATTTTAAAATTATATTTGGATATCTATGGTTATTGATAAATTTTTCAAAAATACAGTAATAATTTAAAAAAATTTTTAGATAAAATACGGTACATCATTTATACAAATTTATGAGTTAATATTAAATTAAACTTTCTAACTTATTTTAAATAATTCTAACTTTGCTAGTTGCATTTACATTTGTACTTTTTTTATAGGGATCACTTGAAGAAAAATTATCTAATATTACAATTAATACCATTTGTGAAGAGCAAACATTCCAAGATAATGTGACATCTAATAAACCACATTCTCGACAATATGCTTGGGAACAAGGTCAAATAGATTATTTGGGTATCGATGCTTATGAAAATATTGAAAAGAAACTAGATGCTGCTATAAAGGGAGAAGTTTTTGATACTTAAAAATTTTCATTTTAATTATATAGTATAAATATAGTTTAATTACTTTAAGTACAATTTTTTATTTACCTTTCATAAAATGTTTTTATAATTATGTAACTATATTTCTGATATATACAAATCAAATAATTGTTTTGTTCAATTAAAATATTTCTAAACTCAGTACATCATTACTGGGAATTGTTAAATTTATACTTTTTTATATTAATAATAGATTGATTGATTTATAAATTGCTTGCCATCACTTTTCAGTTTCAAACAATCATTCAAAACTGTTTTCCAAAAATTTGTAAAATTATTAAAGAATTTAATCTCACCTTTTTATTATATTCTGAATTTTAAAAATTAAACTAACTTGTAGTATCAAAAATCTTAATTTAAATTTAATTTAAATATCGTTTTCTATATATATAAGGACATTCTATTAAAAAGTAAATATATATAATTGGTTAAACTGAATATAAACTTAACAATATGCTTAATGATGAGAATTAACTTACTCATGCAAATACTAAAAATTTCTGTTTGTTAAGAAAATATTGAAACTTTTAACTTAATTATTAAATTCAATAAGTATTTTATAAAGTTTATATGAAGATTTTTATAATTAAAAAAATAAACATTTTATTAAGATTTAATGAAATAGCTAGTAAAAATATTTGTACAAGAATCTGTCCTTAATAACTCTGAATTTTTACAAAAGTTTTATGAAAAATATAAAGTTTAAAAGAATTGAAAATATCCAGTTTAGTATATAACAGAAAATTTTTTAATTAAATAAACATCTTTTCATTTATTAAGTTTGTATAAATAAATCAATTTTTTTCAGACACAAAAATTTTACTAAAATATTTTTTTTAAAAAATTAACAAAATATACCATATAACATTATCCGAACAAATTGAAATGAATTTTCTTTCAGTTCTCAATGTTATAGATTACATTGAAAGATAACACTCAAGATTTTATTTAATGCAATTATGATAACTTAAGTAATTGATAATTTTGCATTGAAAACATTTTAAAGTTAATATTTTTAATAATTTCATAATATTTATTTTATACTTAATATAAATAACTAATCTTGCTACATCTAAAATTATTTGAAATCAATTTGGATGGAAAGCTATATAATAATTGATTATTGATTCATTGGTTGGCAAGCAATTTATCAAATTCCATGATGGCAGTTTTTTTTTTTCAATCTCTGATGGTCCATGAAACAAAGACAAGTGTAAATAACAAATTGAATTTACAGTATAGCGTCATTTATCCAAATCAATTGGGGACTCGGGTTGTTTGGATAACTTATTTTTTGGATAACCAATTATGTACAAAAAAATATATTAACCTATCCCATGTTGAAATTTTTCTTCGTTGTGGGTTGTTTCGCGTTGAATTTATGTCGATGTTAAGCCTAACGTAAACTTTTTAAAATAATAATCATGGCTATTGTATCATTAAAAATTATTTCTTTATTTTTTACAAACAAAATAAATATATTGAAAAATATAAAAACTAAAAAATATTATACTTTAGAAGTTAATCTAGTATCAAAAATGTTCGATTCAGCACGACACACAGTCTTCAGAAAAACACTACAAAAAAGTGCCAGTGCTGCCAGCTAAAACACACACCAACAAAAAAAATATTGGAATAGCCAAGATATAGCGAAAGATTGCAGCGCAACAACACTAGCAAAAATTTAAATTTGCTGACTGGAATGCTTTCGGTTAACCGATGTTTTGGATAACTAGCTTTTGGATAAACAACTCTACTATATTACCAAAAGTTAAGTACAAACATGGTTACTTTTTGACATAATCACCGTTAAGATTGAGGTATTTGTCATATCTATGGAAGAGCTTTTTCATCTCCTCTTCATAGAATGTTGCTGCCAGTGAATGGAGATGGCCTTAATGACGTTGTTTTGAAGATCGTCATTAGTCTCAAACCTCTGCTCTCCTAGCCAAGTTTTCAGTTCAGGAAAGATATGGAAGTCTTCACACATTAAAACATTCCAAGTTGGGTAGAAGTCTGAAAGGTGGAAATCTTCGCTACCTTTAAACACCCATTGTATAGCCCCGATTTGGTGCTGAGCAACTTCCATCTCTTTCCTGCACAGAAAATGTGGCTAGGAGGACAGAGGTTCAAGACTAATCACAATCTTCAAAACAACGTTAGGGCCCATCTCAAGTCATTGGTGGCAACATTCTATGAAAAGGGGATGGAAAAGCTCGTCCACAGATATGACAAATGTCTCAATCTTCATGGTGATTATGTCTAAAAGTAACCATGTTTGTACCTAACTTTTGGTAATAAGTTCATTTTGTTATTTATTCTTGTCTTTTTTTTTATGGACCATCAGAGGTTAAAAAAACAGCCTACATATATATGTATATTTTGTTTAATCAAAATATAATTAAATCTTTTAAAATTAAGTAGAAATTCTTTACTTTTTGAGAAATTAGTTTAAAATTTGTTGAATTTTTTGTATCTGAATAAATATATAAATTTTTAAAATTAAAATATAAAAGATTTTATAACAATTAAAAATATTGTAAACAGTTAATATAGTAAACAGAGTAATAATTGGTTGTTTTAAATAAAATTATTTATAGAATAGATTTTTATAAAAAAATNTTATCATTAACAAACAGTTTATTTTTTTAATGTATTAATTGAACTAGTGACATCAGTAAACAAATAGCATCCAAATTTTAAATTCTAATATATAAACGTTATGTATATCCAAAAAAAAGATAGTAAAATCCAGATGAAAAACTTTTCTAAATTTTAATCATTTTCTTTAGATGAATAAATGGTTTATACACATTAGGATTTACAGTTTAGATGTTGTTTAACTTATTTTCCTGACTTGTGAAATTTAAATTTTAGATGTATGAATAAAAATAAAATATTAATTTTCTTTAATTTATAATTTTTTATATTAATATTGAATGAAATTAATATTTTAAGAGATAAAATTATGAAAATTTAATTTAGAGAAACAAAAGTTTGATTTATTAGTAAAATCAAAATCCAAAATTATTTTGTCATTAATCTGTTACTTAAAAGTAAAATGAAAACAATTTTTGGACATATTATTAATGGATTTTTATATCCACTTATGATTGTTCCAAAAGTAATATTTCAACATTTTGATCATAGAAAGAATAGAAATCTTTTTATTTTTATAGGAAAATACTGAAATGTAATATTGACAATTTTTTATTTCACTGAATTCTAATTTTGTGATTACTAATTACAATTATTAAAACAAAGAGCAAAGATTTACTGAAAATGACTTTATTTATATAGAAACAGATTTTAGTGGGTTATTTTTCATTTACTGAATAGAAATTTCAAATATATAAAGAAAAAATGATTGTGAAAATTCACTATTTTAGCAAATTTAACACATTCCTTTTTACCATATGGTATTAAAGTTTTATAGTATTTTCATACACTTATTTTATTTTTATTTGTATTTTTACATAAACAGAAATCATACAAAAAAAATGACTTGAGAAAGTGGAAGATTTCCTGTTTGAAAGTTTGATTGTAATTGGTATTTTTTATCAATTCTCTGTTTTAGAATTCCAGTTTAGATATTTAACATATATATTGTCAGAAATAATTAAAAGGTCATTTTTATATATTGTAGTACAAATTTATATTTTTTAGATACTTTTCATTTAAAAAAGAGCAGGATTCTCTTTTAGATATTTATTGAAAGCATAATTATTATTTAATAGCATTTAAATATTATGTGTAAAACTCTAATATGATAATAGATGAAAAAATTTATTGCATAAAATTTATACTGTAATCCAGGATATAAACAAAATTGAAGAACAAAAGACTGTTATTTCAAGTTATGTCTTTTTTAAAGAGCTTATCTAATTAAAGTTGAAATAAGGAGAGAAAGAACTTAAGAAACTGATCAATTGTTTTATTACATTTATATTTACATCTTCAGAATAATTGGAACATACAAAATATTTGTTTTGAATGAACTAAGAATTTTTTAAGCTATACAAAAATTATGATGATAATTAATGTGTTTATTTATATAAATATCTCTGACATATTCATAAAATAAATGAAATTAACTATTGTAATTATTTGGAAGATAGTTGGTATAGATTGTAATTTTTGTATGCAATTCAAAAAGTTCTTGATATCGTTGAAAAGTATTCAGATTTTAAATATGAATACTTTTAAAAGCATCTGTATTTTCCTTTATTCTGAAAATATAATTGCCAATAAAACAAAAATATTTGATCAGTTTTTAATATATTCATGTTGCAACTAATAGTATTCTTAAAAGAAGACAATAATAAAGAAGACAAATTTAATATGTAGTCTTTTCTTTCCTTAATGGTAAAGTAATTTCATTCTATTAATATTAATTATAGCTTAATTATAACAGTATTATAGTTTTATTAAAAACATTTGTTTTAATAAGTCTGATAGTTACTCCAGATAGTAAATCTGATATTTGCTGTTAATGATTTCTTAGAAACATTTATAATTTTGATATAAAATTATAAAAAAATTTTTTATTAAAAATCAATAACTTATAGTTATAAATTTGTAAGTAATAATCCTAATTATAATGAATCTGAATTGAAAAGTTTATATTTAATAGCACAATAATACTTATAAATTATAAGAAAATTGCTTAAAAAATTAATTTTATAAAATTATTAATTTAATTATACCAGTTACCAGGAGTGCATCTTCATAATCAGCAGGAATTACTATAAATAATTATAGAAATACAGAAATAAATACCTTTTTAATATTTTTTTTATTAATATTTTAGAAAAGTACTAATTTTTGAAATCAATAAAAGTCATCTTTTGTTATTAAGTAGTATTAAAGATATAAATAAAAACTTTGTAATAGTAAATTTAAAAGTCATCTATATAATATGATCAGATTATTAAATTATATTTACTAATACTATATAAATAATTTTGAAGTTGTTTTTATTAATTTTGTAAATGTTAGTTGGTTAGATTTAATTAAATAAGATATTATTTCACATTACAAGATTTAAATTCTTATGCTGATAT